TTCAACCAAAGGATATAGGAATTCTTGTTGTGAATTGTTCAGTATTTTGCCTTGCACCATCTCTCTGTGACACCATTGTGAATCGATATAAGCTCAGACATAAGATATTGTGCTATAATCTTAGTGGCACGGGATGTAGTGCTGGGGTTCTTGCTATTGACTTTGCCAAACACCTCCTTCAGGTACGTATTCTCTTAATTTTAAATTTAATATTTTTAGAGTCTCAGTTTTGGTGACATAAACTTATCATATTGATATATACTCACATGAGCTTCATTCATATTATCATAACATAGTCACATCCTAACTCATACGCCATGGTGCTGAGCACTGAATACTCAACCTCGGGCGCGTATAAGGGAAAGAACCCCTCCATGATCCTCCCAGGTTGTCTCTTTCGCATGGGTGGTTCTGCTTTGATTTTGTCCAACCATCCTTCAGATCGTCTTTGTTCAAAGTACCAAATCATGAACACACTTCGTACGCACATGGCTTCCGACACTACTACCAAAAAAAAACATTTAAAGGCAGTTAAAATGAGCTTTTTAGGTAGTTTTGAGAGTGATGTATATGCCATTGATGTAAAATGTAGAGGATTTCATGGCGTTTAAGAACCGCCGTAGTATGTGACTTTTCACGACGGTTATATAAATAACCGTCGTGAAAAGTTTTTTTGTTTGTTTACTTTTTAGTTTATTGTAATAGCACCATGTAGCTTCACAAAGTCACTAAGATTTAATAAAGGTAAAATCAAAGACTCAGATCTGATAAAATTCATGAATTTCATGCTGTCAAACTCTAATCTACAAAATGAGGGAGAGAGAAATCAGATTTATTCAAGCTTTTAAGTATTAAAGTATGTTTAAAAAAGAAAAAGGAATAAAAATAAAATCTATTTAAACTCAGATCAGACATCATATTTTAAACTAAAGAAAACAATCAAACTACAAAAACTATGAAACCTATGGAAAGAATGGAGGAGAAAGGGTGAAAAACTCACAAATAAGAATGAAGAGGATGAGGTGATGGTGACGGCAACAGCGATGGTGATGGAAGAACATGGCGGAGATGATAGAAGTAACGAATAAATGCCAGCAAAGATAAGAGGAGGGAGAAAATCAAGTAATGACGGTAATGGGAGATATGAACTCTAACTCTAAAAAGTAAAAACTATTGCGTGATGAATAAGGTTTTAAAATTCTAATAGGCTTTTTATGATAGTTATTTAAAAAATAACCATGAAAAGTATTTTTAATAGCGGTTTTTAAGAAAACCACCATTAAAAGAACTTTTCAGTGCGGTTTTTTTTAAATAACTGCCCTTAAAAGTAAAATTTACTTCCCTATAATTACAAAAATATTACTGTCATGTTTTTTACAGTATTTTTTTCTTATGACTACCATAAATTAGCATTATGAAAGCTCTTCTTTTTCTTTTTTTTGTAGTAGTGTGATGACAGAAGCTACAATTGTGGCTAGAGAAGATGAGCAACTACAGATTGGTGTTGCGATCTCAAAAGACCTCATGAATGTTGCCGGTCAAGGGCTCAAGTCTCACATCACACATCTCTTGCCCCACTGGCCCTTCCTCTCTCAGAAAAATTGAAGTTTCTTGTAAATTTTGTGGAAAGGAAGGTTTTAAGGTTTGTGTTTGACACAAAACATGGAAAATAAAGGATAAGGATTGAAATTGAGAGTGAAAAATTTTATTAAAAGAGTGTTTAGTATGAGTAATTATTTGACACTTAGGATTGGACAAATCATATATATGGGATTAAAGAATACTACTGGGGAAGGTAGTATTCTCTAATACCATTTGCATAAGATTGCCTAATCCCAAGTGTTAAAAAATCACTCATGCTAAATATCTTTTTAACACATGGTTTCAATCCTAATCCTAATTCTTACTCTTCATTTTATGTTTCATACCAAATGGAATCTTAAGGTGAAGATTGAAGCTTATGTTCCGAACTTCAAGTTGGCTTTTGAGCACTTTTGTGTTCATGCTGGAGGAAGGGCGGTGCTAGATGCAATGCAGAAGTGTCTTGAGCTTCAAGATTGCGATGTGGAGCCTTCGTGGATGACGCTGTATAGATTTGGGAATATATCTTCGAGTTCATCGTGGCATGAATTGGCTTATTGTGAAGCCAAAGGAAGAATCAAGTTGGTTCTTTTTCGCAAGGAAGATGTATGAATAATGTAGAAAAACATCAATCGCTATGTTCTTACTGTTTCATCTTATTTTTAATCAGATTTCTCTAATTTGTTTCCTTTTCATTTGGTCATTATAATTTCACGTGATTTAAATCAGGTTCTTCTAGTTTTTTTCCTTTTTCTCATGTCCTTATAGTTTTAATTGATTTTTAATTAGGTACCTGTAAATTTTTTAAGTTAGATGAAACTATAAAAATAACATAGACACAATTAAAACTTGGTCAAACTATAAATACTCTATTTGATCCTATTTATAAGCCTTAAATTTGAGATTTAGAAAGGAGTGTGGTCTATTTTATGAGCTTCAATTTAAAATTTATCTTAATATTTAATGTATTTTTCTAATTTTGTTCTTAAATTATTTATTCTCTCTGATGTATCATGCTTTTTTTAATCACAGTATCCCACACATCCTCTCTCATTCTTTTTCATTTATTACAAGGACATTTTTAAAAACAAAACCATATTTTTAATCTATTTATTGTTTTTAACTAATTTTAACTAACAGTTTTTTATTCATCAAAATAATTATTTAAAACTTATAATAAGGGCCAGATGGAGTGTCTAATTAAAAAAAAAAAGAACCTACTTAAAAATTAAGTGCAATTACAGGACCTGAAATTTAATTTTTGGGATAAGTAGCGCTGGGCCAATGTTATTGGTGAGTCCAGTCCATGTTCTCTGAAGCCCGTTTCTGTACGAGTCACTGAGCTTTGTGATGTTTCGTGCAATTTTAACTGGTGATTCTCGTGTTACAAACAGCTTGGGTCTAGCAAAAGGCTAACCCTCCTAACATGATGAATTAAAATTTAAATTTGTATTAAAAGAGGTACTCATAATTAATATCTGACAGTATTTTGAACAAAATTACTTCTAGTAGGAGGATGGCAGTGCTTAGGAACAGAAAAATAAAAATCAGGTGATTCTTGTGTTGCTGTTATCCCAAAATAAACTAGTCATGCGAAATTAACACCAAGTATTTTCCTCTTTGTTAGTCTGTCAAATATTTTCCCCTTCCCTTTCGTTTTTTCCCCAAAATCTTTTTGAAGCTCTCTGCACATGTAGGTTTAGAGTTCTTTTTTGTTACGAACTCCTGTATCATAGATAGGTTTATAGGTTGTAAAAAAATGTGAGACATGGTAAATCATTGAAAATTCAGACTTACAAATTTTATTAGCTAACATGACTTAAACTTGGGTATCAGTACTTTCCCTATATAAAATCAGGTAGAGTACTGATTTTTTCTGTATATATAAACACATCGTGCCCTTTCGCCCAATAAGATTTTTAAATATGGATTTTTCACCGATTTTCCCATGTTTTAAAGATATTTTTATTTTCTAGTTTCGGCAATATGTCTCGACTCCTGATTATCAACTTTAGGTGCTGACACTGGGGAAGAAAAGGTTTGCTTTAGTGCAATTATAAATCGAATTATTCACATGAATATGGCAACAAACTACCACTACTCTTGTAACCTACTTAGTGGAATGAAACCGTAGAAAATTGTGAATTCAATCTTACGTATAATTTCATAGTGTTAGTAGCAACTCCTCTAATTTTTTTCCTTCTAAAAACGATATTGCAACAAATTTGTACTTAACTTTCTGCTGCTTTTTCTATCTTTAGAGTTATATTTTTTCTCTTGAATATGTATTATATGCACTGTCTTTTATTTTTATGAACAAATACGATCCAAATCCCTTATTGGCATTACGGAAACAGCTTTTGTAAATCATAAAGTATGCATTTAATTTTAAAATTTGTGTAATGCATGAAAAAATATGTCTGGTCATAACTCATGTGACCATACTCTTTGAAAAAGACCCAGCAACAGCCAGCTGTTCGTATAATTAGAAAATATTAGTTGATTGTATTTAAACCATATCTACTTTTCCAACCAACAAATCATTGATACCGAAATACAGGTTTTGCAGATAATGTCGCCCACTTGTTAGTTGATAGTACTCCTACTTTATTACACTTTCTTCTACTCTTATTATACCAATAACTTCCAACCATACTACCTAAGACTATTGCTCCAAGTGGTTTTTGTTTTTTTCCCAATCGAAACAGAAGTAGCTCTCTTTTGGTATAAAAATAATAGAAACGGATTTCAGTCATTTCATTACGCAAAACTTCATATAATATTATCTCTATTGTATTTTCATATATAAACATATAGGTTAGTCGAAAAATATATTAATTTATAACAAGAGAATATAACATTATTCATAAGATATAAATATACCTTTTTTTTTTAAAATCCTGCAGTACACAACTCCTTTATTTAGTATTCATGTTTCTGTATTATTATTTTTTAAGAAATGAATAGCATTCATGTTATGTTTTTACATCTTGGAGTTGATTTTATAAGAATTCTTTAGCTTACAAAAATAAAATATGAATAGTGTGGATCCCATGGATTCAAGGTCCCACCAAACGATTCGGCTCCCCTACTTTTTATATTAATATTAATATTAATATTAATATTCATTCATCTTATTTGTTTGCCTACATAAGGTTCAACCAAACAAAGTCATTGCCTGTAGCTTTGTCGCCACCATGATGAACCTAGTGCTTAGTCTTTCTTAGTAGCAGGCTTAGCTTCTGCTTGTCTTCATCATGAATTCAAACCATCACTAGCAGTTCTCTTTTGCTTCTCTGCATTATTCCTCCTAACCCTGGCCATTTTTTCATCACTTGAAGAGACAACCAAGTAAAGTATACTTAGTAGGCTTTGCTTGCTGCAAACCAAACGATTCTTGTGCCATCACCAAGAACATGATGGTGGAAGCAATAAAGAGGGTTGGAGTTTCCTCAGAGGAGAATGTGAAACAAATGGAGAAATTTATAGACAGCTCTGGTTTGGGACCTGAGACGTGCCTCCTTCAAGCTCTGTTGGAGAACCCACCAAAATTACGTCTGGTTAAGGCAAGGAAGGAGATAGAGACTGTGTTTTTCGGAGCTATTGATGAACTTCTGGGGAAAACATGGGTCCAGCCAAATGAGATAGGAATCCTTGTTGTGAATAGTAGTAAGTTTTGTCCCACGCCATCTCTCTGTGACATGATTGTGAATCGAGATAAACTTTAGGTGCTGACATTGGGAAAAAGAGGTTTGCTTAGTGCAATTATAAATCGCATTATTCACATGAATATGGAAATAAACTACCACCACTCTTATAACCTACTTAGTGGAATGAAAGCGTAGAAAATTGTGAATTCAATCTTACTTATAGTTTCATAATGTTAATAGGAACCCCTCTAATTTTTTTTCCTTTCAAAAAACGATATTGCAACAAATTTGTACTTAACTTTCTGCTGCTTTTTCTATCTTTAGAGTTATATTTTTTTTCTTGAATATGTATTATATGCACTGTCTTTTATTTTTATGAACAAATACGATCCAAATCCCTCATTGGCATTACGGAAACAGCTTTTGTAAATCATAAAGTATGCATTTAATTTTAAAATTTGTGTAATGCATGAAAAAATATGTCTGGTCATGACTCATCTGACCATACTTTTTGAAAAAGACTAGCAACAGCCAACTGTTCGATCATATAATTAGAAAATATTAGTTGATTGTTGATGGTGCCTTTTGTCGTCAAGGCACTCAATTAAACTGGGTCTCAATTAATTTGTAGTTTAGGGTCAACCTAGGTCATTACTTCGAAGGAGCAAGTTATGGGTTTCTTTAGGTAAAAATTTAGGAGATAAAAGAAATACAATAAATTGGACCTAAACTAAAATGCAAAATTCTAACTCTAAATGCAAGATGCAAATGTCCTAAAATATATATGAAAATTAAATTAAACTAAATGAATGCAATGCAATTTTTTGGGGGGTTTTTGAAAGAAAATAAAAATAATGAATAAAGAGAATTAATTAGAAAGCAAAGAAAATTAACAAGTAAAAATTCAGAGATTTCTCTTCAAGTACAGTAGAGGGGACAACTTAGGATTTGCATGGATTTAACCTTCATAACCTCAATCAGTTAATTAAACCAAAGGGAAGTGATAAGAGAGTGGAATTAATAAACTTAATTACCTACTTGAAATAAAGGAAACCCTTAATCTCAAAAACCCTTAAACCATTAGAGAACTCATAACAGTATAAGGTTGGTCAATTAAGCTTATTAAAACCAATGAAGATATCTCAAATTAATTCTGGAAATTATGTTTGAAATCATCCAGTTAAACAACTAGACAATTAACCAACTTAATTAAACAATTAAGAGGCAAAAGAACCCAAATTTTGCAATTCAAACCACATTGATAATTAAACTCATAATGAAAACTCAATTATAAATTCAATTAACAATGCAAAGGTTCTAAACATAAATTCCAACAAGTATCTTGGCACAAATAAGATCCAAATATCAATTTAATCCAAGAATAAAATCGACAATCTAGAACTAAATTGTCTCAACAAAATTACAACTTGAACTCATTTAAAACTAAACAATTCAAGTCCTTGAATTAAAAAGATAAATGAAACATCACTCCCTTGTGGTCTTCAAGTGCTAGCCCAAGGCTCTAGTCTCCTCCATGCTCCTCCCAAGTTGCCTCCCTATAAGCTTAAGCTTCCATGGTATTATCTCCCCCTCCAAGGTTGTTAGATGCCATAGCCATGAATTAATTGAAGGTGATGGTGAGGAATTGTGCGTGTATGAATGGAGATAGAGGTGATTGAATTTTGTGGGTGAATGACGTGAGGTATATGGTGAATATATGGGATAATGTTGAAAGGAGAGAATTGACGTTCCATCAATCAAATATATGAGGGGATATATATATGATATATGGCGTTGAATTGTCCTCTCAAATAAGGAAAATATTTTGATGGGAGAAAAGGAAATTTTTATGAATCTAAAGCTCAAGCCCATTAGTAATTAATTGGCTCACTTGATATTAGCCATTGGATTGTGTTTAAATCCCAAGAAACAATCTTGCACCATTGGATCTCCTATATGCTCTTTCTTAACTTACAAGAATTTAAGTGCATCCATTAGTGTAGATTATATCCAAATATAATATAATCTCTATCAAAATTAAATATTAGATATGCACAAAAATTAGGCAAGAAATTGCAAAACTTTCTAAAACTAATCTTTCTAAAAATATGAGACTTGTTTCCAAAGAAATAGGAAAAATTGATTCCAAATCAAAAATAGGAAAGCACAAAATATCTATATTTTTAATCCAAAATATCAATTTTTATGCAAAATCCAAAAATCAACCAATTTATCCAATAATGCATAAAAAATCTAATTAAGCTCAAAATTATCATTTAAATTCTAATTTAATGTGGGATAAAATGTATAAAAATTGGGCTTTATCAATTGTATTTAAACCATATCTACTTTTCCAATCAACAAATCATTGATACCGAAATACAAGTTTTGCAGATAATATCGCCCACTTGTTAGTTGATAGTACTCCTACTTTATTATACTTTCTTTTACTCTTATTATACCAATAACTTCCAACCATACTACCTAAGACTATTGCTCCAAGTGGGTTTTTTTTTTCCCCCAATCGAAACAGAAGTAGATCTCTTTTGGTATAAAAATAATAGAAACGGATTTCAGTCATTTCATTACGCAAAACTTCATATAATATTATATCTATTTTATTTTCATATATAAACTTATAGGTTAGTCGAAAAATATATTAATTTATAACAAGAGAATATAACATTATTCATAAGATATAAATATACCTTTTTTTTTTTAAATCCTGCAGTACACAACTCCTTTATTTAGTATTCATGTTTCTGTATTATTATTTTTCAAGAAATGAATAGTATTCATGTTATGTTTTTACATCTTGAAGTTCATTTTATAAGAATTCTTTAGCTTACAAATATAAAATATGAATAGTGTGGATCCCATGGATTTAAGGTTCAACCAAACAATTCGATCGGCTCCCCTACTTTTTATATTAATAGTAATATTAATATTAATATTCATTCATCTTATTTGTTTGCCTACATAAGGTTCAACCAAACAAAGTCATTGCCTGTAGCTTTGTCGCCACCATGATGAACCTAGTGCTTATGTCTTTCTTAGTAGCAGGCTTAGCTTCTGCTTGTCTTCATCATGAATTCAAACCATCACTAGCAGTTCTCTTTTGCTTCTCTGCATTATTCCTCCTAACCCTGGCCATTTTTCATCACTTGAAGAGACAACCAAGTAAAGTATACTTAGTAGACTTTGCTTGCTACAAACCAGACGATTCTTGTGCTATCACCAAGAATATGCTAGTGGAAGCAATAAAGAGGGTTGGAGTTTTCTCAGAGGAGAATGTGAAACAAATGGAGAAATTTATAGACAAGTCTGGTTTGGGACCTCAGACATACCTCCCTCAAGCTCTAATGGAGAACCCACCAAAATTATGTCTGGTTGAGGCATGGAAGGAGACAGAGACTCTGCTCTTTGGAGCTATTGATGAACTTCTGGAGAAAACATGGGTCCAGTCAAATGAGATAGGAATCCTTGTTGTGAATAGTAGTACGTTTTGCCCCACACCATCTCTCTGTGACATGATTGTGAATCGATATAAACTCAGACACAACGTCTTATGCTACGATCTTAGCGGCATGGGGTGCAGCGCTGGAGTTCTTGCTATTGACTTTGCCAAACGCCTCCTCCAGGTTCGTCATTTTTTAAAAAAAGAAAAAAGATTAACCCATCTCAACATAGTTTACAATGATCTCCTTGATTGAAAACAAAGTTAGGTGACTTGTATATTAACTACATGAAACCTAATGAAGAATGGCTTTGTGTGTGTGTGTGTGTGTACTCCTATCTAACTCAAACGCCTCAATATTGTGTTATCACAGTCACACCCCAACTCCTACGCCATGGTGCTGAGCACTGAAATTGTAAACACAGGGGCGTACTTGGGCAACAACCTTCCAATGCTTGTCGTCAATTGTCTCTTTCGCATGGGGTGTTCTGCATCTCTTCTATCCAACCATCCTTCAGATCGTCATCGTTCAAAGTACCAAATCACTCACGCACTTCGCACCCACATGGCTTCCGATGAACGAAGTTACAGCTGTGTGTTTCAACAAGACGATGATCAGAAAATAATTGGTATCTTCATCTCAAAGGACCTCATGAATGTTGCAGGTCACGTCCTCAAGTCTCACATCACATCTCTCGCCTCACTGGTCCTTCCCGTCTCAGAAAAACTCAAGTTTCTTGTGAATTTTGTGGGAAGGAAGGTCTTTAAAATGAAGATTGAAGCTTATGTTCCGAACTTCAAGTTGGCTTTTGAGCACTTTTGTATTCACACCGGAGCAAGGCCAGTGTTGGATACAATGCAGAAGCGACTTGAGCTTCAAGACTGGGACATGGAACCTTCGAGAATGACACTTTATAGGTTTGGGAACACATCTTCAAGTTCAGTGTGGTATGAATTGGCTTATTGTGAAGCCAAAGGAAGAATTAAGAAAGGTGACAGGATCTGGCAATTGGCATTTGGGTCCGGGTTCAAGTGTAACAGTGTAGTATGGGTTGCACTGGACAATGTAGATGCAAGTTCATTGAATAATCCATGGAGGGATGAAATTCATGAATTATCTGCTAATAATGTCGATTCATTGAAGAATCCATGGAGGGATGATTTTCCTGAATTCCCTGATAATAATGTCGTTGTTTCTCAAAACCTTTAGGACAATGTAACAACTCCCCTTAAGATATATATGTGGCCTAATACTAGAAAGTTCGGATTATATGTACTACAGTCCTGCTTATGTGGTTGTTCGATGAGTTGTGCTATGACAAATAATGTTGGAGTTTTATATTTACCAAAAAAAAAAGTGGAAATATTGATAAAAAATTACTAATTAATAATTGTATAAAGATACATAAGGAATTTAAGTTCTTGAGTAAATCTTTAAATGTGAATTATTAATTTGAACTGATAATAAGTTACAGGGTTTAAAATACTATTTCAAAATTTAAAAAATATCTTATTCAACTATACTTAAATGACACTTCTAGTGTTCAACAACCATTAATCTCAAACGTACAGAGAATTCTCAAGAGCCATTGCTGCTTAATTAATTAATTAATTAACCTTCGACATCAACATAATGAATATATTGCTCATGTCGTTTCTAGTAGCAATAAGCTTTGTTAGCTCCTGCCTACGTTATCCTGAGTTCAATTTAATGTTGTTGGAGTCTTAATTTTAATGACATAAAGTTATCATATATGAGCTTCGTTATTATCATAACATAGTATTGATGAGATTCAAGCGTAAGAGTGCAGCTACATTGAAGAATCCATCGAGGGAAGAAATTCATGAATTCCCTGTTAATGTTTCTCCTGAAAACTAGCTCTTATACGTGTTGAGTTGCTGCTAAGATGAATTAAGTGAGTGCCTATTTCAGGACAAGCTGAATTTTAATTTGATCTTTCATATATGGGTCATTTATTAGTTTAATCCCTTGTTTAAATGCTGAACCATAGTTAATGGTGTTTGCTTAAAACCCTTTGTAATATCAAGTTGGTTAGAAAAGAATATTAGTGTATCTCTGATGCAAAAATCAAATTATAAGATCTAAGCTGGTTAGAAAAGAGGGCCCAAAGCCGAAATACAGCAACTCAACAACTACCCTGGACCATCATAACTCTGCATCGTTCCACAAGTTGCACAATATGCGGAGAAACATCCCCCACATGTTTAGCCGGAGCAGGGAGACGCTGTCGGGGCAGAAAGCTGGATGCTTTTTATTTTTTACCCCAATTTATTAAATACTCCTCTGATCTTCTTTATAAGATAGAAAAAGAAGAATATTTTTATCCTATTTATAAGTCACTTTATTAAATTTTTAATACAAATGTACTATTTTATTCTTTATTTATTATAATGTATATAGTTATTTTTTTAAAAAGATGTATATATTAAATAGGGGTTAAATTAGAAAGTTATTATATTTTAATGGACAATTAATACAATTTAAGGTTTTTCTTGATCTATATGAAACATGCTCTAAGTGCCTTATAAATAGGACCACATATACTTTTTTTAAATAAAAAAAAATTGGCAATCAACATCTTAAATATTAGGATTATGTCTAATTTCTTTGCATTGTGATTGGTCGCTTAGTGTCATGCAGGTTCCCTATGGACACTTTTAACAACCGTTAAATGCCAAGACTATTGCTCCATGTGGTATCTTTTTATGTAAACAGAAATAGATCTCTTTTGGTTCAGAAAAAACGTATTTCTTTTATATATGGATCTCTTTTTCTATTATTCAATAAAGTTACATATGTTTTTACCATTTTAATTCAGGAGAAAAAATAGTTTTCACTCAACAAAACAATATGGTGTACAAAATTACACGGTGAATTTTATGTTTTATAGGGAAGCCGATGTGTTATTTATGACTATAAATATAACATGATATATGAATGCTAAAACTTATATTATATAAGGATATATAAAGATAAAGGTTATGTACGAATTTATAGGTATCATACATGTCTTGGATCAGGCAATCTTGTTCAATATACTATCAGATACTAAATGTTGGCAACTCCATCTCCTATAAAGAATATATGTTTTGGTAGGCACAACTATTTTCTTATTGGAAACAATTCTATTTAAGGTACTGTCAAACACTAAATGATGGCACCTCAATCTCTTACAAAGAATTTAAACTTTGATTTATCATATTGTAGCAGACTAATTCCTTAGACCCAACTGCTATTGATAAAAATAAATGTCAGTTTACAACAAGTTGGCATCACTCATAAGTCATGGATATTTATAAATAAAATGTTGTAACAGAAATTTTATGTAAAATACAAAATATATCTATATTCTTAACTCAGCCATATAGCACACATTTGGATAGCCGTTTCAAAGATCATACGTGCCTGGGACTTTTGTGAAACGCAAGTATAGGAGTGTCAGGGAGCTGCATATTGTTTTGTTGAGTGAAAAATATTTTTTCTCCTGAACCGTGCCTGTGTGATAGGATTGTGAATCGATATAAGCTCAGAGATAATGTATTGTGCTACGACCTTAGTGGCATGGGATGTAGTGCTGGGATTCTCGCTGTTGACTTTGCCAAACGCCTCCTTCGGGTAAATTTTTTATTTTTTTGGTTGAACCTTCGGGTAAATTTTAATGATGTTGCTTCAATTAAACTCATAATTAAGTACATTAAGTTTTCACGCAAAACTTAAAAACCGATGACATGAGTACTACAATGGAGAGTTTCACAAGTGTGATTTGTTATTAAGTTTAAGGACTCTCCCACCCTACAGGCTAATCCTTTGAGATGTGCTCTTTCTTTGGACTTACGTATTCCTTTGGGATGATGCTCACAGAAAAGGCTACCCACGGACTGGATTTACAAGCAATTGAGTAAAGTTCCATAGAGTAGAGCCACTTGGTGGGGAGGTCGGTGGGTTGTATTTTTTAAATTATTTTGATGATACTTCTTATTTTTCTTTAAATTTAGTTTTTTCTAGTTTGAAAGTTGATAACGGGGGCTTATAGTTTAAATTATTTGATCAATTTTCTTTCAATATATATGTTGAATTCTACATCAATAATTTGGACAAGTATTTTTAATGTTAAAGAAAAAAGTAATCCGTACCATAAATGATTTAGGCAAGTTGACATGAATAACATACATCGATACAGTTGGCAAAAAAAGAAAAGTATATCCATACAATTAATGCGATCCATTACTACATCCGTCCCTTATTACAAGATCTAATTTTTTAAATAGATTTGTCCCTTTTTATAAGATTTTTTTGGGTTTGTTTGAGCATTTAATGCATTATTACCTATTTTATCTATAATTTAATGTATTTAATACATTCTCTTTCTTCATTTATCTCACTATTACTCTCTCACATTTACCCATTTATATATAGGGGTATATTTGGAAAAAAAATTGCATTTGCTACATATTAATTGCTTTAAACTAATTTTAACTGTTTTCTTAAACTTCACAATTTAGTTAAAAGGATTTTATAATAAGGGACAGAGTAGTATTGGTTAGAGCTGTACGTAATTATTTCTATTTTTTCTTATTAATCTTCTAATAGAGTACACAAAAGTGTATATTTTTAGGGGTAAAATCGATCTTGTGATCAATGTCAAGTCATAACGTTCTATATTCACATCATTAAGATAACACAATATCAGTTGCACTTGTTTGCATTTATTTATATTTTTCTTACTATTTTTAAATAAAACTAAAAAATGATTTTTTTAAAAAAATAAAGCTCATGATGTTAGTTATGAAAATTATACATTTTTTTGACAACGTATGAAAATTATACATTTATTAACATATATCATATATCATATTGTTATTGAAAAATCAATTTAGTTTTCTGATCTAGTTTGAGTTGATGCTAGGGGATCCTAGTTTAAATTAAATTATTTTCAATTCAATAATTTTTGTCACCAAATTCTGTCAGCACATATGGTATGTTCTTGTGGTGCATTAATATATGATCCCAATATTTTAAATGTATGGTTTAAAATAGAATGAAAGCAGCCGATGGAGTGACCACCACTTTTAAATGTTTGTGGGTCTTGTGACAATCTGATGTGTCTTCAAATAATTAGTTTCGGTGGTTGAGATAAGAATTGTAGGATTCATTAATGTCATAGTTATCGGTTACATTAATGTGAAACTATTCATATTTTTGTTAATAACTTTTTCAATGAAAGCATGAAATTGTAAAAAGAGGTGTAATTTTTTTTTAAAAAATCATTCTTGGGATGAAAAACTAGACATCTATTTACAAAAATATGTCATGCACTTGAAGAATATATCATACTTCCCAAATCTAAGGCCTGACCTCAGTCATCATGGGGAAACTATTTTCCCCAAAAATTAAGAATAATTGCCATCGCATGAACCTAAATGTGTAAATATTATTATCAATAAATAGATAATATTAAAAAATGTGTAAGTTGTAGATATTAAAATTACATAAAAAGCAAAGTTTTAATTGGGGCTTAACTTCTCTCTTCCTTTTTGCGGTGTGATAGATCCTAAGTGAAAATAATAAATACATAAAATATACTAAACTCCATTATGTAGAAATCAGTTTCAATGCTCATCATCTTGATGAGCATTCTAATCTCATCAAATCTGGATAATCTATATTTGATTTGAATGGTCTAGATTTAAAATTTTTAATTAATTATTTTTAAATAGAAAAAAACTATTTTTTGAAAGAATAATAGTTAATAAATTATCTCCATTTTAGATTATTTACATATTAAAATAATTATTTTAAATAAATAAAAATTAAAAAAGAAATCAAATTCGGACAATCTAAATCAGGTATAGATAATCCAGATCTGATAAGTTTAGAATGCTCATCAAAGTAATGAGCACCGAAACTAGTTCCCATTATGTAAGGGTGTCGGGGTGTCGTGCAAAATTGGTTCCCATTATGTAAGGGTGTCGTCGGTCTAATGGGTTTAAACTTTAAAATCTTAAATGCTTATATATGTTTAAGACATTAGCTAGCATGTCAAATTAAATTGGGAAAAATTTTTCCATTGAAAATTTTATTGGTGAGAATAACATAAATCATAGTATCAACACTCGGTGTACAAAATTTGCTAAGTATTGGTATGATCCTTGTATAAAAACTTATCAAGTCCTTTTTACTAATAAAACTTTTAATGGAGGACTTCTCCCTAATCTTTTTCTTTGTGTGGATAATAGAGCTTTAAGTGAAAATATTAAAGATAAAACAAAAATTCTTAAACTCCATTATGTGCGGTTGTCAGTCTATGGGTTTAAACTTTAAAATCAAGTTAAAATGTCAAATTAACGGTAAAGGAAAAACAAATAATTAAACCGAATGATTTGAGACCGCCAGATCGTGTGAATATATCCTGCTCAAAAAATCTTAAGCTTGTGTTTATTATGCTCTAGTGCTAAGAGATCTAATTCGCTGGCAGAAAAAAAGAAGCTTAAGAGATCTAATTATGTTTATATATATTTATGTAGGAGAGGGGGGAGAGGGAGAGGGGGGGGGGAGAGAGAGAGAGAGAGAGAGAGAGTGTGTGTGTGTGTGTGTGTGTGTGTCTAGATTTAACGAGTTCAAAATTTTATAAACAGTGGGGGCGAAACACAAAAACTCAATTCATATACATGAAATTTTGATGCTACTTATCGATGTACTAATGAAAGTTTAATTATTACACTACACTCATATATACTTCAATACTATGTGATAACAGTTGCGTCCTAACTCGTTCGCCATGGTGCTAAGTACTGAAAGTGGAATCTCAAGCTTGTACCTAGGCAACAACCCCTCAATGCTCCTCGTCAATTGTCTCTTTCGCATGTGTGTTTCTGCTTCTCTTCTCTCTAATCTTCCTTCAGATCATCATCGTTCCAAGTACCAAACTCTTCGTACCCCCATGGCTTCCCATGACAGAAGCTACAACTGTGTCCAACAACAAGAAGAGATGAGCAGCAGCACATTGGTTTTGCCATCTCAAAAGACCTCGTGAACGTTGCAGGCCAAGTCCTCAAGTCTCGTA